ATTTTACTACAGGGGAACACAGGGGATGGGATTGGTACTGTGTTACTATCTGTGTCTGCCACAAAGCTGCCAGCAACTTGAACACAAGCAGGGCCGTCCTGCTGCACAGCTTTGTATCACGAAACCAAAATTGACACCTGCATCCACCAAAAACCATCTCGATAAATTTCCGGATTGCAAGATTTCATTTTAAAAGATTCTCAAGTCTCAACCGTCTCGAATGGTTCCATTTCCAGCTATCTCAGTTTGGGGCCTTCTCCAGCAACCGCCTGTGCTGCCAACAGACTGGCCATGTTGGCGCCCTGTGAAAAGCCAAAAATCCCATCCAGGGGCTCCTCGGAGCAGCATCCCAAGCAGCGTCCCAAAGGCACGAAAGGAAAGGCCCTGAGGCCAGGTCGTGCTGACGTAAAAGGTCTTGAATGAAGTCCAAACTTGTCTCCAGGTCGCAGTATTGGCCTGGGTCTTGGGATTGCAGAATGGGAGAACAAATCAAATCTGATTGTCACATGATCAATCATGTTCAAATATCGTTCATCGTGAAACACACCGCATAAGCCCAGGGGCGTTCTGCGATGCTGGAAGCTGCTGAAATTTCTGCCCATTCATAGAACTCTTGGCCCTTGAATGTCCGGGACATCTCCTTCCGCTGCTCTGAAAACTCAACTTGCACATTGGCAGACTCTCATTCACCACATCCCCGTCCTCCCACACTGGGTTGTCTTTCGTAGACTTCATCCTTGCAAGTTCTTGCGCCGCGTAAAGAAAACAATCAGGGAACTGGCAAAGTCCGATAAATCAGGAAGGGGCGATGACATGTAGAAATGCTGCCCACAGAGTACGCTGAGGTCTTCAGGTGAGGCATGAAGGCAGCTGACAAAGACAGGAATCATGCCATGCATCAAGAGCCACATTCCTAATTACATCTCACTGGATTGGTTTATGTAAGGGAAAATCTACAGAAAACCATGGTTTTTACCATCAAAATATCCCCGCAAGAGACCCCAAAAAGTGCGGGGGAGTGGGAAGATAATGTATGATAATGTTGTTGAGGATGATGATGATGATGGTGATGATGATGATGGTGATGATGAGGATGATAATGTTGCGGACGATGATGTTGAGGATGATGATGTTGAGGATGATGAGGTGCAGGAGGATGATGTTGAGGATGATGAGGTTGAGGATGGTGATGTTGAGGATGATGATGTTGAGGAGGATGGGGATGGGGATGAGGATGAGAATGCGAAAGATGAAGTGGATGATGATAAGGTGGAGGAGGGTGATGTTGAGAAGGAGGATCACGATTATGTTGAGGATGATAATGTTGAAGGGGATGATGAAAACGATGTCAATGTTGATGTTGCAGAAGATTAGGTGGAGGTTAACGATGTTGAGGATGATGAGGTCAAGGAGGAAGATGATGATGTTGAGACTGGTGGTGTTGAGGAGGAGGAGGAGGAAGATGATAATTGGGGAGGAGGACGGACCCCAAGACTGGGACCCGCACTTTGTGCCAGCCTGCGCAGTCGACATGCACGTGGACATTTCACAAGAGCCACTATGTGCAAGATTTACAGGTAAAATGCCACAGACCAAGACTGCGGACCACACTTTGTGCGAGCCTGCGCAGTCGAAATGCACCTGGACATTTCACAAAAGCCATTAGTGCGAGAATTCACATGAAAATTGCCGGGGCCCACGATCGTGACCCACACTTGAGCCTGCACAGTCGAAATGCACCTGGGCATTTCGCAAAAGCCATTTTGCGCGAGAATTTGCATGAAAAATGCCGGGGCCCACGATCGCGACCCACACTTTGTGCGAGCCTGAGCAGTCAAAATGCACTTAGACAGTTCACAGAAGCCTTTTGGTCCAGAATTCTCAGGAAAAATGCCGGGGCTCACGATCGCAACGCAAACTTTGTGTGAGCCTGCGCGAGGTCGAGACGCACTTCAGCATTGCGGAAGAGCCATTTCGCGCGAGCATTTACAAGTAAATGCCGCAGACCAGCTGGAGCACACTGATCAAGCACCGGCCTTTACACTTACCGTATAAGAACCCCTCAGTGTGGAAAGGCTGTTTGGCGAATTTAAGGGTTTTGCGCAGATTTTCTCATTATTTCAATTCTGGCAATTATTCCGGGCGTCCTGCCGTCCAAATAGATGAACTCCACTTTGTCACCACACAGCTTTGCAGCTCGTTGTAATTGCACCTTGCCCATTTGCGCCACCGTCAAAGGAGGTACAATATGAGGTATCATCCCACCATCACTAGGGATTCCTAAAAATGGTATATAGATACAAGCCTCATCAGGCCTCATCAAACCTCCCTTACAAGATATGGTGGTATGACCATCCCGGACCCTCCCAATATGCACGTAATATGCTAGAAATCAAGAAAATCATGGAAAATCCCGCCTATCCAAACCGAACCGCTGCCTGGGTGTGCTCACCTGCAACACATGAGCCCCGGCCACAGCAAGCCTTCAAAATGTTGCCGTTGCTGCAGGTTCCATGGAGGCAGGCAACCCGAATGGGGCCCACGGCAGCTGGTGGAGGGGCCCATGACAGCTGCGGCTTCACCTCCGCAATACCCAGGTGCTGCTTTGCATCAGACACAGTTGAGGTTAAGATTGCCACTTCTTGTCAGGGTGAAAGGAGTGACGATAAGGATGAGGATGAGGATGAGGGTGAGGATGGTGATGGTGATGATATAATGATGATGACGGTGATGATGACGATGACGATGGCGATGACGATGACAATCGCGATGATGATGATGATGATGATGGTGGTGGTGGTGATGATGATGATGGTGATGACGACTGATGATGGCCATGATGATGATGGTTATGATGATGATGACGCTGATGTTGATGTTGATGATGATGATGATGATGATGGCGATGATGACGATGACGACAGCGGTGATAATAATGATGATGATTATGATGGTGAGGATGATGACGGTGACGATGACGATGCAGGTGATGATGGTGACGATGATGACGATGATGGTGGTGATGATGATGGTGATAGTGAAGAGGAAGAAGAAGAAGAAGAAGGTGATGATGATGATGATGATGGTGAGGCAATGATGAAGAAGAAGACATGGATGAGGATGATGATGACGATGATGACGATGATGACGATGATGACGATGATGACGATGATGACGATGATGATGATGATGGTGATGATGGTGATGACGACAATGATGATGGTAATTGTGATGATGATAATGGTGACGATGATGATGATGGCGACGATGATGAGGATGGTGATTGTGATGATGATGATGATGATGATGATGACGACGATGATGATGGTTATGATGACGATGACGATGGTGGTGGTGACGACCATGACGATGACGATGACGATGCCGCTGATGATGATGATGATGATGATGGTGATGATGGTGTTGATGCTAATACTTATGCTTATGCTTTTGCTTTTGATGATGATGATGATGATGATGATGATGACGATGACGATGACGATGATGATGACGATGATGACGATGATGACGATGATGATGATGATGATGACGATGATGATGATGATGGTGATGGTGATGATGATGATGATGATGATGATGATGATGATGATGATGATGATGACGATGACGATGACGATGACGATGACGATGACGATGACGATGATGATGACGATGACGATGACGATGACGATGATGATGATGATGATGATGATGATGACGATGATGATGATGATGATGATGATGATGATGATGATGATGATGATGAAAAGCGTAAGGGCAGGGAATTGCGCCCAACCATCTGCATGCTCACACGCCTCCACAGCGGAGGTACGCTTTGCTTCTGGGTCAAGACCCTGGGCTGGGCTCAGAAGGCGGAACAAACAGCGTCCCAGCACGACAAAAGAAGCAAACAACACCTGACAAATCAATGAACGATATCTGGGTGCCCTAGGTGCTTCTCAGATCATGGATCTCCAAAATATGGATAGATGTTCCAGCTAGTTCAAATATGTTCAAATGAAGTGTTGTGCCCACTGGGCTACCCCAAATTTAAGAACGACAACAGCTGCTGCACCTCTGCTGACCCATCGGCAGGATCTGCAAATGGATCCCAATCATCACCCATAAGCTGTTTGATCTGTTTGTTGTTAATTGTGGATCAATAACCTGGGTTCTTCCATTGGGGGGAAGTTGGTAATACACATGTGTCATTTTTGGGGGCTGACCAGTGACCCCCAAAGTCATCCAAACTACATCCGCTGTTGACATGTGTCCCCTCATAAAACAAGCAAGTTCTGTCGGCTCACGATCGGGTCTGTCATCTACCTCATGTCAGGTAACGAATGAGGTGGAATATCAAGTCTCTTTGGATTTGAGTTTGCATTGGATGTGCTGCTATGTAAAACCAAAACTCCGCAAAGCCACGGAAGTTCCGAGTGTTCAGATGTGTGCAGCATTTCTCAATGTTCAGAGCCAAAATGTGCGTGGCATTTTTAGTGGCACACAGCACGCAGCAACTACGCCCGAGCGCCGCATTGAGGACCACTCCATCTGAACTGGGATCGATCAATCATCACCTCCTTCCAAACCTTCCAAAGCCCCGCAAATAACATGTGATCATATGTGATCATATGTGATCATTTTTTCTTGCAGCTGCAATCTGATACAAAACATCTCGTCCCAATGGCTCGGCATCCGGCTGAATGCCAGTTTCCACCAGCTGCTGACGAGCGGTGCCAAGGGCAAGCCGCCCGCAAGCAACCCAAGGTGTCTACCTGCGCAAGGTCTTTGAAACAAGAAAGCATCAAAAACAACTCAGAAGTTCAGGTGATTCACATCAACTTAGCAAGACCTTGTGCCAAAAACCATGGATTTCGTCAAAAATCCCACCTGCAAATCTGAATTTGTACAAAGCAAGGTGGCAGTTCCACTCAAACCTCAGCAAAGGACGGCAGCACACTTGAACAAAGACCAATTCCAAAAATGGCAAGCTCAGAACATCTTCAAATATGTAGGAATATGTTTGAACCATGTTTGTATATGTTTAAGATTGTTTAAGTACAGTACGTTTAAATAATATGTGTATTTAAAAAGATAAACAATATAAATAAAACTTGCGGGGCAGGCTTGAACCTTGACCCGTGCCATCAAACTCTCCAAATTCCCTGCTAGGCAGCCCCAGTGCAGATCTCGGCAAGGGATGGCAAGGGATGGCAAGGGATGCTCTGGTTTTGCCCGTCAGTCAGGGTGTCCTGGGAGGGTTTGGAAGCGCACGGAGTTTTTCATCCGAAATACCTCTAAATTCATGGTGGTCATGACATGATCCATGATCTTTCGATATGTTTATCATTTAGGATCCATGTTTTTTAGATATGATTATCATCATTTGGGGGTTCACTGGCATAAACCCCTCCTAAATGTAGCCTCCGCTCATCAAGGGAGTTTCGATGTTTTGTCCATTAAAATGGCACCCCCATTGAGGATTTTTCATTGCCACATCCAGCATGGTCCCAATCATGTCCTGCAAATCCACAGACAGCTGAAGGATAGAGCCGTTTGGAGCAACTTCGCGCCCAAACGGCACGGGGAGGTCTCCAACAAGGTGTCCAAATGAATGACTGGAACCATTCTTGCGGAATACTAAAGTATTAGACACAAGGATAAATGATATAAATATGCTCAGATATGCTCAGATTATGAAAGCCCTCTTTTCATCCGTTTTCTCCGAAGAAAAAACACGCCGCTGCGTCTAAAAAGCGAAGTTTCTGTGGCATGGCCATGCCTTTGGCAAGGCCACACGAGGCCACGACTGCAGCGCCGCGGCACTCAGTACGATCTTTGGTACCGAGTTTTGGCCGACCACAGGTCGACCACAGCTGACCATGGTTACACTTATAGTCAGCTGGATGGTTCATGGTTGATATGGTTACTTTAAGTTAACCATTCCTACAGCTCAATCATCTGGATGCGTGCTTAATGGTTACTTATTCTCGACATATCAACACGAACTCTATATGGAGGTTTTGAAAGTCATCGAGGTACCCCCAGTTATCATCCACATAGGATGTTCATATGAAATAAATCCACCAACCATCCATTTTGATCCATGTTGATCCATTTTGGGGAGTCCCCCACCATGGAAACCTCCCATCTCGTGCCATCACTTCTTGAGCCATTTCTCCCCATCCGTCCAGGAGATACTCGCCTGCGCCATAGAGTCCACCTCCCCGAAGTATAAACGCTTCTCCACCTGACGTTTCATGACGTGTCTCAATGCGGCAAGGCAAGGAACAACGATTTTGGGAGTGAAATGATATAAAACTATATATATATATATACATATATATATATACATATATATATATATTATGTATACATAAATATATATATATACGTGTGTATATATATAACTAACTGACTGGGAAATTAAATCAACAAAAAGACATGTGGCATGATGGGGATAGTCTCGTTTGGCAGTCCGAATAGTCTAGTATTGCGACATCCTTTGTGCCCAAAAAATTGTTTTTGACATGTTTTGACAGCACTGGTGTGGCTTCAGCTTGCTTCACTTTGTCAAATTGTTGCGCCACATTGTCCTGTCTTGCAGGGTTTTTGATTTGGTTGTCCTTTTCCTGACAAGTTTGCAAGACTGCAATCACAAGATACGACAGCAAACCCCGTGTGAAAGTGTGTGTGTGTGTGTTTGCATATATGTGCCATGGCTGCCATGGTCAAAACATTGTTTCTAAATCGCGCTAAAGTGGATTGATGACTCTTGATGACCATCCCCCAAGGGGTGCCTGGATACAGATGGTGCTTGGCCCTGTCTGCTGCAGGAGTGTTGCACCACCACCATCCCACAAGACCACGGAATCCAAAATGTCGGCCACAGCAGTTCCATCTTTCAGAAACCAACGCCCCTGTAGACCACAAATCAAAGGTGCACTGTCCTGCAGGAATTGACAAAGTCCAGTTCTCAGACCTATCTTGGGGGTTTGATAAACATATGGATATGGGTCAAAAAGAGATACCGGTACCCAAAAATGGCATGATTTACAAGAGTGAACCAAAATCTGCGGCCCCTGCGGTTGCAATCCTACAAAAATGCTGGCAAACATGGAGGCAGCGGCTGAGAAAAACACAATGCCGTTTATTTCGTCATGGCTTCACGACATGGTACCCATGCGTTTCTTCAGACTTGCTATTCACAGGGGTTTGCAGATACCCACAAATCGCAGTTTCAGCGGGGGAACCACCCTCTCCACCCGCCTGGTGTAAGAGGGATACTACTGGAATGGTAGGTATTTCGAAGGTTCCGTCGATATAGGCGCCACGTTCGACGTCAAAACAGGCGCATTCCGTGTAGGTGGATCTGATCTGATGATCAATATACAACGTTTGCGCATCAATACGTTCAGAGCATGTTGTCTCAACCTCACGGCCGCAGTGACAGGTGCCCGCAGCTGTGCCCATGGCTGGTTTTGAACATAAAAGAAGGGGAAGTCAGAACTGCATCACAATCCGAAGCCTCAGAGCTGGCTGTGCAACGGGATGGATGTGACATGTGACATGATTTCTATGGTTCTGGTTCCCTTCCGAAAAAATGTCCTGCGAGCCAATGAAAAGTGAGATGATCCGGGCATGGCAGCTGTGTGCAGCACAACCATACCAACATGTTCCAACATGTCCCTAAACTTGAAATGACGGACTCATGATTTTTTTCATCTCAAATGATGAAGGTGCAACCACGGCCGGGCCCTGAAATGCTGCTCACTTGACCGGTTGGAGAATCATCCTAGCAGCATGCCAAAATCTCAGCTGTGTCAAAATGATGAATTACGGGATATTAACGTGGGGGTTCCGGTCAACCAATGTTACCCTCTGGTAAACTAACTAACAATCTAACATTGCTGCGGGACCAATTCTGTTTGGGCCAGTCCTCGATGGTCATGGTGGAAAGCCCGCGGCCTCTGATTCCGCTGGCACAAAGCCTGCAGTTGTTGGCAGGGGCGATCATTGGGTTGTAACATGTTGCAACCACAAGGGATTTGGGATGATTGGGATGGGGATCTGAATATCTCTTCATATCCAATGAGTCTAATCTAACCCACCCGTATTTTGATGGCTCAAAACCCTCCCGCAAGCCTTTCCACGGCAACTCTCACAGCCACACGCCCCAGCCATCTGTTTGTAAGGGCGTTCAAGCCTGCCGTTTGCCCGCCCTCAAGCCCTCCAAACCCTCCAAACCCTCCCGCAGGCCTTTTCGCGGCAACTCTCGCAGCCACGCCCCAGCCATCTGTTTTTAAGGGCGTTCAAGCCTGCCGTTTGCTCGCCCTCAAACCCTCCAAACCCTCCCGCAGGCCTTTCCACGGCAACTCTCGCAGCTACACGCCGCAGGCATCTATTTTTAAGAGCGTTCTAGGCTGCCGTTTGCCCGCCCTCTAACCCTCCAACCCTCCCGCAGGCCTTTCCACGGCAACTCTCGCAGCTACACGCCCCAGCCATCTGTTTTTAAGGGCGTTCAAGCCTGCCGTTTGCCCGCCCTCAAACCCAATATGTGATAGCATACATCGTGTACCAATATGTGATAGCATACATTTATATATGCATTTTTTGTGCAAAGAGATGGGTTTCAAACACCAAAACCATCCAAAACCTTTATTTCTTGGGCACATAATGGCTGTCCCTTGAAGCATCAACGAAATGGTGAATCCCCCAGTCATTACCATCTTTATAGGTGGTATTGTGACCATTCCCAGTCATGGGTGGTTTATTATCATTGTTTTACCAACATTAAAATATACATGCGCTTCCCCCCCTCCACCCTTAAAGGGGGTCGGCGGCACCGGGGCGTTAGCCCATTTATTTATGACAAATTCTGAAGATTATTACCATGGTTACACCCATCAAAATCACAACAACTGCGCCCCCCTTGGATCTTCAGCCTCGCTGGGAGCTCCAATGACTCATTCTCGGAGTTTCCGAAGTCTCGCCTGCATTGCTGAGCTCTGCTCTGCTGTGCTCTGCTCTACTCTTCTCTTCTCCACTCTACTCTGCTCAGCCCACTGGATTTAAGACTTCCTTACTGCAAACAGCCAGCTCGACTTAAGAGTTCTGGGGCAGCTGCTAATTCACTTCGTCCGTAACTCGGAGTTTCTCCACGAAACTTTCTTTGACATCTTTGACTATTGCTCATCGCAAACACGGACAGTGGTCGAATCTGCAACCATGTCTTCTAAACACCAGGCTGGCCTCAAGGTCATCGATGGGCGTGGCCTGGCAGTGTCAACGTGCCGAAAATTGTGTTGTACCCCAAATTGGCAAATTTACTACAGGGACACTTGATGATTAACCAGAGGATTTTGGGGTACTCTCTTTTCAAACAAACCCACATTCCAATACATTCCATGGTTTAAACGGCTGAAGACTTGTAACTGCTACCAGGTGTGCAGTTAACCATGCCACACCACAACTGGCATCATGGCCTGTTCCTCAGGGGGTGACAAACGCTTCACATCACCCTCCAACTCAGCCTTGGGGCACCGGCTGTCATGGCAGTTTGCCAGAGTTGACGGTCGCTACGGTCGTTGCAACATGTTGAAACATACAGTATTATGCTACTTGGCAAAAACCTTTCCAGATGGCATGCGGTTTTCTCCACACTTGGGTGGTAACATCGCATTTCTGGACCATTGATTCCACCCTCCCTGTTTGAGCCACCCACAATGCGCTTTCCAACCATCTCCTGTGTCTGCGAAGAAACATCTGCCGCCAGATGGGGCAACCTGTGGCCACCTCTCTGACATGTCGCTGCGCTCCCTACCTTGATCTGCGCATTGTTCTTGCAGCGATCATCGAAGTTGTACCTGAAACCCGTGGCCTGCGCCGGAAGGTTTTTTTCACACCTATTCAAGTTCCTGAAAAAAATATGTGCTGCAGAATCAAAGAAACCTGCGATGATTTATCTTATTTAGAAAACAAACCTGCAACTGCAAGATGATTTCCAGGACATCATCACTTTCTCTGGACATCTTAATGTGATGTTTATCAACTGCTGATGCCCAGGACATCTGCAACTGGTGCATCCACTGGCGCACACGAGTTTCTGCACTGCGATTGCTCTATGAAAACCTTCCAAGGCCTGTCGCAGTTTCTGATGCGCAATCCCAAGTCCTCGAAGTTGCAAAATCCTGGAGGTAAATCTTGCTATAGTAATTATATTATATATATATCTTGCGAACTCCAGCTGAAAAGATCCAGAAAGTCCAAGAGTCCAAGATGGAAAATTTACCACCTTGATGCAGATTTTATGGTCGATTTTACTGTGTAGAGGATAGGGCTGATAGGGTCCTCTGCTAGTCACGTCAGGGTACCCAGGTGATCTCACACGTCCCTTTTTTTTCGTGCCTCCTCAGCCTGTCCCGCAGCCTCCAGCTCTCGTGCCTGCCCATTTTCCACAGATCAGTTGCAGCTTGTTTCAACATGGAAACACATTGGAAGTGTTGACCACTATGAACTACCAGTAACTACCATAAAATTCTCATAATTTCTCCATCCCCATTTTGGGCATCACCAGCCATTGAATCATTGTAGGGCTTCTTCATCTGTCTACTCGTTTGGGCCTCAGTTCTTGTACATCCAATTGATCTTGATTTATGTTTATTTTAATATGGTGCTCTTAAATCCAACAGTTAAAAATCATTTTCCCGCGTTCTTTATAGCCATTTCCTGGTGTTACCCCTTTTCAAACTGCCGCAACTCCGTGGTTTTTCATTGAAAAAAATGTTAGATATTGTTAAATCACCATCCATTCCCAATTTGTCGCGGTTAGATTACCACTTTTTGCGGCCAAAACCGGTCACCCCATGTTCAGTCGCCATCCGCTGCAGCGGCTGCACCTCCTTCTCCATGGCCACACCAATCTTCATGCGGTCCTCACCAGCACCTTCTGCACTGATATGACAAGTGAAATGTACACATATATAAATATACCGACACTCTTACTTAGATCAATTTAGCGAAACTTGGATGAACTTATATAGTATCTGAAAAAAAAGTGGCTGGTCCGAAATGACTTGACCCGGGACTGTGCAAGAGATTCAAAAGTCGTGTTGAGGTGCGGGGGTACATAATTTGTAATAGTTCACATCGTACGATGAAGTGTCTTCTTGTGTCTTGTGGCTAATGAAAAATATGAGGAAAGAGGTCGTCCTTGCGTCTTGTGGAGAACGTGGCTAGACAGGAAAAGGAAAGAAAAAGGAAGACAGGAAAAGTAAGAGAGAAAAGGAAAGGAAAAGAAAGGGAGGAATATGAGAGGAAAAGGAAAGAGATAGGAAGAGGAAAGGAAAAGGAAAGAAAGAGGAAAGGAAGAGAGGTACTCCAGAATACAAGTATATTGTCTTAAAATCATATCCAATACACTACGTGTGGGACCTATGATGGTATCTCTGATTGCTGACATTCTGTGTCTATTTATATTTATCTGTATATATATATATATTATATTATGTATATTTGTCTTTAGCGTGCTTGTCCTGGCATAAAGATGCAGTGAAATACGATTTGGGTCTGCAGTCAACTGAGCTGTAGGCCTAGGTTCAGCTCGATCCAAGAGGCTTTCCTTCAAAGCTCCCAAGTTGAAAAGGGGTATGGTCCAGCGGTACTCTGAGATGCACTGGGTACTCAAAGTTGGGCAATCTTTCCACCAGGATCCACCAGGTATGGTGTCTATGCTGAATTTAGAATCACTCCGAGATATTGGGACAAGGTTTCAGGTGCCATGATTTGGCCTCAAAATGGTCATTGTCAATACAGTAGTATGGTGGCCCTCTCCGGCCATAATTGTTTGAGGTATAGGGATTTGATTAGACCCAAACGACATCAAGTGCACCCTTTGGATTCCGGCCAGTGCCTTGTTGGCATGGGTCGGAATTGGGACCCCAAAACATTGGATCATGGAATGGCAGCATCTGCAGTTTGAAGAATGCACAAAATCTGCACCTGTTTTCCATCAGGAGAAGAGAGCAGGTGGGCTGCTAAGAAATAATTTGCACCAGTAGCCCGTCCAAATCTGCTCAATCCAACATTCATCTCGCAGCTGAAGCGAAACCGTGATAAGATCAGAGGAGCACATTACCAAAGATTTCCATGCTGTTGCGGGTCTGCGTTCAAGCTCAAGATAGCGTAAGCGTTGTGGTGGGTATCATTGCAGCCAGCCATTCGTGTAGGTCCTCCAGCCGTTGTCCAATTTTGATTGCTTTGTTTCAGAATGCAACTAGCAAGATGTAGCAAGGTGGTTCATGATGTTGTGATGCCCAGCCGTCGTAGCACTGTCATCACTTTCTGCAATGGCACAGGGATCTGCACATGTTTGGAAGTAGCCATGTGAACGCAACGATCTAAGGCTATGCCAAGGAATTCAGTTTTCAGCCACAAGTGACGCCAACAAGCTACCGTGACATGCCGTGACATGCCGCGCAAAGTATTCCGCTTTCTCCCAATGCAGGAGTCGCAAGAGTTTTGCCAATTCAGGTCACTGGAGTTCGGTGTCCTGTCCTATCGGATTTTCCCACTGCTTCGCAAATGGTAATGAAAATAATGAAATGTGTATCCAATGCATCCATGATGCAAATGGGATCGATAAAAAAGAACCGCGCAACACCGCGCAACTCTTTTCTTCACTGAGCTGGAAAAAACACCGCAACCACTGCGGTCCAACGATGTTGCACACGCCTGTGAGTCCTTTCGTCTTCTGGTATAAGTGCATCAGCTTACCGGTGTCGACAACGCAGGCCAGCAACTTGAGTTCAAAATGCAAAATCGATTGCACAAACCAACGTGTTCTTGAGGAGCGATGGAAACACAACCACACCACCTCTGGCCCCGCTTGTGCTTCTCGTGCCAGCTCTGGCTCTGGCTCTGGCTTCTCCATTGCCACTTCACAATACTTCAGACCGAACGATTCCTGGCATTGGGTCCATGGCACGTCAAACTGACATTCTGACCCAGCTCTACCTCCAGTTGACATGGACAAAGGACTTTCAATTCAGCAAAGCCAGCACAGAGGCGTCTTTCACTTCCAGGAGAGCAGAACTACAAGTCTGCACTTCATCGCTTCACCGCAAAATTAGGCAAAACAAATGAGGAATCCTGCAGAATCAAGTCCAGCTGCTGAAACTTCCCGTTTGCTGACTCCTTGCTTTACATCTCTACAAATCTGTGGAAAGTTGTCCGCTCAGGGCATGGACATCGTTCAACTTGACCACTTCTGCGATCAGCGCTACCAAAATCCTGCGTTCAGCGTGCTTGGAACGATCATGCTCCACCAGGATGGGCATCAGCCACTGGCCATGGCAGCTGCCATAGAGCAGCACGGAGTTTCCCCGTTGAAGCGCGAATTCAGTTCCATCAGTCACCTCTGGCAACGCCAGGCAATGCTTGGGATTGGGGTCTAGTAGAACGTGTGATGTACAAGTTGTAAAGATCAACTAACGGTTCAAAGAATTGTGAGCAGTGGACTTTGACATTTATAGCAACTAAAAATAACATAAGACTTGAGGCCCCGGGGGTGGGGGGGGCGAACGAAAGGTAAAGGTCATCTGAATGTGGAAATAGGTGAGCGGAACTTGGAAACATGCAAGGAAGTGCAGACGCTACTCATCCACAGAGCAGGAGTCAAGATGGCTGCAAAGAATTGTGTAATGTCCAGCTTTCAACCGTAGAACATGTGAAGCAAAGAACATAGTTACTGAAAAAAGTTGGGGCCTTTTCCAGAAGTGTAATTTTTGATGGGCTGAAATCCTCGAATCTTGATCCGAATCACAAAGAACTCTATTGGGCCCACTGCCAAATTGTTAGAGGCTCTGGCGAGCTTGGAAAATCTCAACCAAAGAAAATTGGTACGCGACAAAGTTTGGGCCCCATCCAAGTTATAATTTTTGATGGGGCTCAAATCTACACAGTGTTGACCTGAGTCAGAAAGAACTCTAGCGAACCTAATGTTCTGGTGAGGCATCTTGCGCAAGAGTTCCATCCGAACAACATGCAATCTTCCGTTGCAAGTCGTGAAACATCTGAACCAACGAAGAAGGTGACTCTTTAAAGTTTGGGCCCTATCCAAACTTGCAATTTTTGATGGGGCTCAAACCAAACAGCGTTGACCTGAGTCAGAAAGAACTCTATCAGGCCTAAGGTTCTGGTGAGGCATCTTGCGCAAGAGTTCCATCCGAACAACATGTAATCTTCCGTCGCAAGTCGTAAAAGATGTGAACATTCTGAACCAAAGAAGATGGTGACTCTATAAAGTTTGGGCCGCATCCAAGTTATAATTTTTGATGGGGCTCAAATCTACACAGTGTTGACCTGAGTCAGAAAGAACTCTATCGAGCCTAATGTTCTGGTGAGGCATCTTGCGCAAGCGTTCCATCCGAACAACATGTAATCTTCCGTTGCGAGCTGCAAAACACCTGAACCAACGAAGATGGCGACTCTATAAAGTTTGGGCCCCATCCAAAATTGTAATTTTTTATGGGGCTCAAATCTACGCAGTGTTGACCTGAGTCAGAAAGAACTCTATCGAGCCCAAGGTTCTGGTGAGGCATCTTGCGCAAGTGTTCCATCCGAACAACATGTAATCTTCTGTTGCAAGCCGCAAAGCATCGGAACCAAAGAAGATGGTGGCTCTATAAAGTTTGGGTCTCATGAGATAGGATGCCTGTCCAGATCTCTTTTTTCACCACCTTGTTTTTGTTGCTGAGCAGCTGCGGCACGTTTCGGCTGGCATCAACTGGACAGCACATAAACTCAACAAATCCTGAGCTAAAGAGTTTCAGAGGGACGGCCCTGGCAGGATTTGAGCCCGTGACCATCTGCTTCCGAGACTGCTTCAAAATGCCCCGGGAGCTTGGCGGAGGAGTGAAAAATAACTGTGTTGGACTCAGACCTGCCCCTCCCCTTGCTGAAGCAAGAGTAACTCCGCTGGGCAGGCTTTCTTAGCCACGTAATTATTCCAGGATCTTTGGCCATGGTCTTCTGCTGGGTTGGGCCCGTTGGGCCCGTTGGGCCCGTTGGGCCCGACGGGCCCGTCAGTCGGGCCCGTTGGGGCCCGTCGAGCCCGTTGGGCCCGTTGGGCCCGACGACAATTTGGGGCAGTCGGGCAGTCCTGCTGTATGAGGTTCTTGGAAGGGGTTCTTGTAGGGATCCTGTCGAGATCCGCGAAGATTCCTGATTTTGTAGAAGTCCTTGCGAGGAGATCTTGTGGATATCCTAGTGAAATCCTTTGTTGTAGAGGTGTTTGTGAGGAGATCTTGCGCACATCCTTCTGGAATCCTGTAAAAGATATTTGCGCGAAGATCTAGAAGGTGCTTGTATGAAAGTTTGCAAGGGAAGCCTTCAAGAGGTTCTTGTACAAAGATCTTGTCAGATCCCCTCTATCAGGTCCTTCTTTGACGACTGTGCGAAATTCTCATTGAGGTCCTGTCTTGAGGTCCTGGAGTTTTTGTTCACAGATGTTTTCCTCAACGCTGCTAGGGCCTTTTTGCCCGGGATGATTGTCTCTATTTTTTGTTTGAAAAGGTAGAGAGCCGTGCAGCGTTTGACAAGTCGGGTGGGCGGCCGCCGTTGTATTTGGGTCGGACATGTCAAGCAGATAGACGCAGATATGCATATTTGGTTTGATGGTTTTTCAAGGGGTGCCAATCAGATATGTTAGCAACCACATTCTTTATCCCTGCGTGATAGAAGGAAAAATCATCATGTAAGTTCCAAAGGCACCATCACCTGTCATCATGGTCAGGCAGCAGCTGGGTGGCTTTCCTTCCATGTAGCTCACTTTTGAAAAATGAGGAGTGGTGAGCCTTTTCAAGACCATATGTATTCAGCAAAGCAAAAGAAGCATCTCAGTGCCATATGTAAATATGTGTATATATATATATACACATATTCATACATATGTATTATATTTAGACCAAGAGCGTAGGAGCATGACTGTTGTGGCGGAATCGCCTGCCAGTGTTTGCTCATGCGGTAGCCGCTTGCACTATTGTGGTGCGCCTGTGACTGCCAAAGTGCTATTTCCCGGTGGCTGGGATTCACTCCAGCATCGCCGGAAGCGTTGTCAGAACTCGTCCTGCGCGAGGTACCTGAAAAGCGTATGGTACAACTTTTTTGTTCGAGACCGTCAGTCTCACATCTTTGAATGGCGTTCTGGTCAGCCGGGTGAGAACATGGCTTTCTTTTTCTTGACCACACGTTGGTGCGTTTCAGTTGAATGGCTCCGGCAAATGAGCCGCAGGATTGCGTTTCTTGATAGAGCAAAGCCACAAGATTTTTCGTTTACATGAAAGTTTTGTGCTGCAATGACGGGAACCTAAATGTCCAACAAAGTATATGAAGAGGTCCTTGCCTGAAATGCAAGAGCGTCTTAAGCCCGATGGGGAAATAGATTCAGCTGGACAAAGTTTTAGTTATGAGTAGCAATCGGCTGCTGAAACTGCGACCTAATGAGCCGAGGTTTCAATTCAGCAGCTTCACTGGTGAAGCTGCTGTGCACAGAGCTGAAGCGGTGCATGCAGGCAAGCAGCATCTTGTGCCTGACAAAGCTCGCTTGAAGCTGTTTTCGTCTTGGCTGAATTGGCGGCTTGCTTCTTAGCAGAAACAGTAACGACTTCAGCCCTGTTTTGGTTTTTGAAGCTGCAGTAGTCTTCAATTTCTCATTTCAAATGTTTAAACGTACGTGCATAAATACATATTATGTTAAAATATATAGTCCCGCCCCTGGGCGCATTTAAGTCGCAGCTGGGGGGGACCTATACTATATTGCTGTTGTTTTATATTGCCAATGTCTACTGTGATCTATATATATATATGTATATATAGTTTTTTAATCGGTGGTGTTTTTGCACGTCCGATGCATTGCAACTTCACAATTCGACAAGACAGTTCTGGACAAGTGTGTGCGTGTATCAGCTGAAACGATGTAAAGCTTCTGTTTGATAGTAGATCTCGGTCTATCTCTCATTTGGCATTGTTGGTTGGCATGGTATTTTGTGGCAATGAAGTGTTCGTCCGCTAGAAACCCTGTGGGCAACATATGGCATGGCAGCCTGTCTGCTGCATCGCTGAGGTCATTCGTGTGCAACAAGCTGCCCAGAGCGGATTGCCTGTCAGCCCCATCAACTTGCTAGCGCCATTTCCAAAATCTTTGGCTGAAGCTTCGTTTTACGATGACTTCATGCTGGACAGAAGAATCGGGATGGCCAGGGATTTTTCTCTGGATTTAACGAAAGTGATTATGGATGGCAACTTGAAGCTGTGCCCAAAGTATTGCGCAAGAGAAGTTGCACAGTTGGTACATTGCCCTCAACTGAATGCTTTTACCGTGACACCGTGCTCCAGAACCCCTGCAAGGAAGAGAAAGCATTGTGCCCTGCATTCTGCTAGTTTGAACCCTGATGAGCGTGGTCCACCACAGGAGGAGGCAATTGTCAGCCACCGCAGGTTGCGGAGACTACTCAGCGATCCGCAGCCCGAGCCGTATGAAGTTCTATTGAAACCAATAGATGCAGTCATTGCTGGCTGCGCAAGGCATTTGAGAGGCAGATGGGTGTCAGCTGGCAGTTGCACCCCTGGCCAACTACATGATTACTGGTCAGCTCCATCAGGCGAGGCAGGACCTGATGTATCTTTCGTCTCGGGGCAAGCTACTGATGCAGACCTGCGTGCTGTATCCTGCAAGACCCACAAAGAAAGCTCCAAAGATTATCAAAAGCTGATTCGTAAAGGCAGAATGGGCGGCTACTTGTTCGCTGTCACTGGAACAGGACATGTCCTTCACTGTTCTGAATTTGTTGGCAAAGAGAGCATACCTCTGCGTTGGTTCTTCATGGCGCAGTTGAAGGAGAAGGTTCCGGAATGGTCGTGCTTGATACACGACGATTCGTGCCATATGAAGCGATTCGCGTGCAAGCACAGGGGGCGCTCTCAGCTTGCCCAAGACCTTTCAGAGATGACTTTTGTTCTTGATCGTTTTCATGCTGCATCCCATACAGACATTTGGTGCCACCGGCATTGTCACCCGTGTCAGCACAAAGAACTCCTGAAGGACTTCGACACATCAAGTGCTGAACGGGTGAACAGTGTGCTTGGACGGCACAAATTTTGCATGCGACAAATGAGTTCTGGCACACGCCGATTTTATTTGCAAGAAATCATCGAGACGAGAAACAGCATGCTACCAGATGGTCGCCCCCGTCCTGTGATTGTGGCTCCATGACGTGCGGCGAAGGTTCAAGCCTCAGACAGTGTGCTTCTCTTAAGAAATTTGGTTGCATCGGTGATCTTTGCCAAATTGTGCTGCCGTATCTTTCTTTGGTGGTAAATATGTTTGTCTTGCGTCGAAGCGGTGAACCCCTTTTGGCGGATCGTCCCACTTAGTAAGTGCGGTTAATAACTCTAGCTAGTACCTCCCCTAAGTAGGGTTATCCTATACATAAGTCTGTTTCAACCATAGTATTTGCCACTTATTAACTGGGATGACCCTCCAAGTTTCCCCCCAAAATGAAACACCCACCAGAAACCATAGCGGATGTAGGGGTGCAATGAGTTGGAATCACCTATTACATCATGAACAAGGGATGGGGTGATGTCATATTATGTCCAAATTATTTCCCATTACTATATTATACTATATTCGATTGTATTCCCTTCGCTGAATCGCCATATAGTAGTGTTGTAATCCCACCTCATTGTTCCCTTCCAGGTTTCCGGTGTTCACTCCCAGGATGTCAGCACTGATCGGAGAAAGCTTCGTGCGCATCATCCAGCGCTTGGAGGTGGGTCACCTGAGGGTCACCCGGGTCCCCTTGCAGTGTGTGCAGCGATATATATATATATAGATAGATAGATAGATAGATAGATAGATAGATAGATACAAATATATTTGGGAAAGACATGTTCCAATCCCCTATGTAACCGGGTCTATGGTGCGTGACTGGCGGGCACATATAGAAACTATTTTGAACACAATACATCCAAAATTTAGTTACTAAATCAAAAAAAACACGTTTGGGAAATTCATGGATGTACTCAATATATTTGGAAGTAACTAGTGCTGATGAAACTTCTATCTATATGAATCAATGATTCTGAAGAGTTTGTCCGCAGAGCTACCCCAATTTGTGATAGTTGCACCCCAATCTTTAAATCTTGTTTGTCCTACTCCTTCCTTGAAAAAGAAAGGGTGCTTCACCAGAAGATTGGGTCACGCAGGGGCTTGTGCGTCTTGCAGGAAGCGGGCAAGACCAGACCGAGTATTGTTGAAGGATTTTCGGATGTGCCAAGCTCAGAGATGTGGTGTGTATTGTTGACGACGGCCCAATGATGTCTAAACTGTGCATCTGCGCGATGGATTTGTGCATTTTTCTTTTATTGCAATTCATTTGCGCTTCACGAAGAAGCCGTCCACGGCAGGGCTTTGGCCCATGGATGTTGCGTGCGTGCGCGATTTTAGGGCGCAAGCATGTGTACATATTTGTTTGTCAAGTCAAGTTGTCACGTAGAATACATCCCTCTGGATTGCCAGATTCGCTGTTTTTTATCGAAAGCAAGATGCATACACACACACACCAACATCGGCTTGTATTGCCAGCCCACTGCTATAGTTATCTTTGACGCAGGAGAAAGAATATACTTTTATTTGTCCAGCGTTTGTTTTCTCAAGAAGTCAGCTCGCCTGTTCCGTCAGTGGCTTTTCCGTGAACGACAATGGCCGCAAGCAAGGTAGGGTCATTATTTAGTGCTGAGACAGAGGCGGCCTTCGAGCACATTGATCGCCACTTCAATTCAGAGGGGTTGTACGGTGAGAAAGGCAGCCTGGTGGTGCAGAAGCTGGCGGCACGGGCTTCGCACCATGCAATGCCGTATGGCCTTTGCTTGCAAGCAGCCTTGGTAGGTGGCCCGGGGTTTTCTGTGTGCCAGTTCCAGGTTTTAGGTATGCTCCCCTTTTCCGTGGGACATTGATCGTAATCTAGACCCCTTGTAAGTAGAAGCCTTCAAGCACGTAGTTTATATGCGAGCATGTGCTGATTCCACGGCGCGCTTGCTTGCTTTGATTTTCCGACCGGCTGACTTCACCTCACATGGCTTGCAACGGTCACATTCGCCCATGCTAATTGAGCCGGTACCATATTTTCATGTAGCCCGACCCGTCCAAGATACTGAAGCGTGCTCATTGCACATGGGGCAAGCCCGACATTCCGCGCTTGAAGGTAGTTTCGCAGCAACCTGGCAGCCTTGGTATTCCGCTGCCAGGACAGGACAACAACAGGACAAGAGCGACCCTAGTAGTGAAGCACGGTGTTCCTTCAAGGTGGTCTCTGGAACAAGAAATACCAGGTTAGAGTCTGCAAGTTCCCTTTGCGAAGATATCTGTAGAAGATGGCGTGCAAGATTTCCTTGAGAGGGCTTGCTTCCCGTGTCAGCCGTCAGGTGCCGGGAACCGAACCTTAGTCCATGAGGTCTTAAGGCCACACACTTAGCCAGCAGGCCATACCAGGCCTCAGGACTGTGTAGCGGAGCATGTGCAGGGCCATCGACCGAAAACAGTCTGCCTCTTTGCCAGGGTCTCCCTCGCTCATCCAGCTGCGCGGTGCCTAGAGTTGAGGTGTGCGTGAAGCACCGCGTGTGGCGGAGCGCAACATCGCCAAAATCCTAGAGTCTGCTTGTTTGGCAGGTTCTTCCTGACCTAGCCGTGCGTAGCGGAGCGTCTGCGGGGTTTGTCCGGCTTCCCTGCTATCTATGCCGGCCAGCATGCATCTAGATCGCTCAATGTTCGGTGCGCAGGTTCTTGTGCTGGGCTTGTCCAACGCAACGTGCTCTCACATGCATGGTGCCCACGGGTGATTCCAAATTCATAACAAGAAGGACATGTATAGGAACGGCTTTTCCCTGTTGATAACAAATTAAGCATAGAGTGGCGACTCATGGGATGCCAATGTGTTGCTATCACACGCAGATTTGGCAGGTTGCACGAATGGGGCATCCATCAGCGCATTTCCAGGGAGGCCATCACCGTTGTCCTTACTGGTGCTGAACATCAACAAATCGCAGACCAGGAAATCCCAGCTGAATGGCTGCGTGGAAGCTGCCGTGGCAGAGATTGATGCTGAGTGCCAAAGACGGGGAGCAGCCAAAGCAGCGCCAGGATGTACTGTGAGCCTGAAATCTGTGCAGCTCACTTCCTTTACTGAGGCAGCGCTGTTCGAGCGCGCGGCCCCAGATTGGGAACAGTGCAAGGACCCCAAGCCCGAAGGTTTGAAAGGTCGTTTGCACTACTCTACCATCCTGAACGTGGATGAGGCTTATCGCTTTTTGAAGATGTTGGGCTTGGCGCCCAGTACTAGCCAGAAATCCGATGTGGTGAGTGATGGCGCAAGTGAGTTGAATCGGCTGTTGCAAACAGGCCGCTCCAGCCTCCAGCTCAAGACTGGCGTGTCCTATGGCTCAGGCTCTGGCCTTGTCAATGTCACCGGGGTGGGCAATGCCCACTTCTCAGGTTTTTTGCCGGTGGTGCGTGGTGAAGCCGGATCTCACCACCCGGCTACATTGGAGCGAATGGTGGTTTGCACAGGCCGACCCTGCGAACCCCACAGCCCTCTCCCAGCTTGCTTGGTGTCGCAGTTGGGGCCAGGGTTTGCGCCGTGGCTCTGGGTGCCTTTGCTACCGCAAATGATCCCTCTCTTGGGGCTGAAGAGTGAAGCTTTGCAATATGAATATGCAGAGCAAACCTTCCAGAAAGCTGCGGCTGATGAGTGTGATGGCACGGGCCCTTCCGCTTCCACCCAAGGCAACATTGATGAGTTCCTTCCAAGCAAGCACGGGTACATTATCCAGCTGGCGGATGGCACAGAGACGCGACTCCGCTTCAAGATCTGCTTGGACCTGTGTTGCTGCAATAGAAATGTCGCATGCAACCCGCATGGTGGTTTGTGTTTTTGTTTACGTTTGAACTGAAGTTACCTGTGGATGCAAATGCGTTTCCCTTGTGTACATTTTCGTGGTTCCAGCCATGTTTCCGTTGACTGGAGGAGAAGCATGGGGCGAAAAAGAGCCCAGAGTTCCGCGTCGCCAACCGCCATGTGCCAATTCCAGAAGATGAAGATGTTGGTGCCATGGCAAAAAGAGTCTTGAGCAAGTTTGAGACCCCCTTCCAGGTCCTTCGCTTCTCCGATGAAGGCAGCCGCTTGTTCACAGCCTTTCAGGCAGGCTTCAACACACAAGCTGCAGTGCTGCGCGATTCTGAAGACGGATCTGCCAGACAGGGTACTGCGGCTTGGCACTTGGCAGTGCTGTCCGCCAGCATGCTCGTCCTTGACATCGGCTTGGGTGTGCGCGGGCAAGCTGCTTCGCTGGAGGTTGGCGCAGATCATGTTTGCCGGGCCTTCAACCAGTTGAAGCTGTCTCATGACGTTGTGGGCTTGTGGACAGAAAAGGTGCCAGCAACAACTACTTGGACAAGGGGCGACACAAGTGATGCGGCCCTCCAAATGTCCAGCCGAGCCAGGTTGGAATCAGTGTGTGATGCCGCCATACCGCACAGCCAGTTTGAAACTTTTCAGCCTGATGGCCCAGGCCCCATGGAGATCCAAGAGAGTCAAGATGAACCGCCGAAGGTATTGAGTCTGCTAGACCCTGAAATTCCTCCTTTGACGCGTGGCTATGGTTCAAATGGGGAGTCTGTCCAGAGCCCTGATGATGGCGAGATCATTCTCTCTGACAGAGTTCCTTGCTAGACACTGGTTCTGTCTGTGTTTTACGTTCTTGTTTGACAGGCGTAATACTTCGACATGCATGCTGTCTTGTCAGAATGTGAGCGGTAGCCAAATCAACAATTGCCTTGCTGCCCAGGCCATCATGGCCAAGACCATCTTGCGTGGTGAGCCTATCATCTTCGGCCACAAGGTCATTGACAGCGTCAGCGTCAAGAAGAAAAATGACAATGGGAAGTACAGCAGAGTGTCGCTGAAGCTTCGCCATTGGAAGGCCGTTATGTCCGCTGGCATGAGCCTGCACCGAATCGGACGTTTTGACGATGGCCAAGCATGTGAGGAGTACCCCAGGCAACCCCGGCTCATCCTAGAACTTCCGCCAGCAGGAGATGAGGCCAAGCGAGCAGAGTACCACAACCGCATGATGTGGCTCGGCGAAAGAGTCAGAAAACCTTGTGCAGAGAATCGGATGTCAAGACGATGAAATGTCAATGTCAATAGACAGAAGTGAGATCAGAAAGAAGTTGAGAGAGAAGTGTGTCAGGCCTCGAGCTTCAGAGCTGTCAAGAGCAAGAGATGCCAAGGGCAAACCGGATCAAGAAAAAGTGGGGGTCCTGAACGTCTCATTGCATAGGAGTCATACTCATCGACAATGTCGAAGTCATCATCATATATAGCCATAGCTTGCCATTACGGGCTCTACCTGGAGCTCACCTTCAATGAAGGATCACAGCTCCGCTACCACTTGAAGACGGGCAATAGCGTCGTATTCAACACTAGGATCAGCTAGAGCGTCTGCCAACAAGGGCGCAGGCACTGTTTTGACTCGCGTATTAGCCAAGTCAGTACCGGCCTAGTCTACAGACTGTACTTCAATACCTCTCTTGAGCCTTGACAGCGTATTGAAACTGTGCTCAGTACTCATGCTATATGGCCCGAGGGCATGGTCCAAAACAAAGAGACAAGGATGTCAAGAGAAAGGGAGGTCAAGGCAGAGCTGTCAAGAGCAAGAGATGCCAAGGGCAAACCGGATCAAGAGAAAGTGGAGTCATCAGAAAAAGGATGTTAAGAGAAAGGGGGATCAAGGAGAAAGAGGCGTCTAGACAAAGGGCTGGCGTCAGAAAGAGTTGCTAAGAGAAAAGGAGTTTAGCTGTCTATCTTGACCATCTAGGGAAAACAATTTATGACCGCGTCAATTTCCCTGAGTCCGTCTCCTCTCCATCTATTCTACTGTAGCTTCTTCTCGGTCATCTATCTTTCCCTTTCATTTCAACATCATTCTGCGGCTGTCTTCATCTGACTGCGCTTGATTTTAGGTGCACATGGGTCCTTTTTCTGTCATTCTGATCCAGAGTGTGTAAGGCTTCTGTGCGCGGTGCCGTACAGTTCTTTGGTGTCAAAGATTGAAGAGAAAATGCAAGTGAGCAAAGCCCGGTGCGTGAAGTCAAAGGCCAAGAAGCCGGCGGGGAAGGAATCAGAACAGGCACCGCCAGGAAAGCGTTTGAAACCCAAGGAGGAGGCTGGGGATGAAATTGAAATCCAGCACGGAGACAAGACCTTGGGCTTTGGCTGTTGCTAGGTAGAGGGGTCGGCGGCAGAGTTGGCTGACGTTCAATATAAAGGGCAGGCGACAAAGCCTCGCTCTGTGCAGGCGGTGAGAAGCGCCTTTATTGACAGCGGAAATTCAAAATGCGTCAACAAACGTTTTTTGGTTTGAAGAAATCACGATTCAATCCAGGCACAGCCTTGCGGAGCGCTTGAAAATGAGATTTAAAATCTACAGCCGACAAAATCCATTTTTTTGAGTCAGTAACCAAGACATCCTTGAAGAAACCCATTTGTGGAGCAGAAGTTCGATCGAGGTGTGCAAATTTTATTTTGAAAAGGCGGTTGGGTGGGACCTGTTCATGGGAACGCTCAGGTGCTAGAGCTGGTTCAAGAACAGCGACTGAGCTGCGGAGTTTGCCATCCTGGGCAAAATGGGCCCGACTTGCTCGCAAGTTTGCTTGATTGAAGTTGCAGCAAAACTGTTGGACAAGAAGCTTGCACCATGGATGTGTCAGTTGACCAATTCGTTTCCGATGTAGATGCAAACTTGATTTTGCAGAGTCACCCAGTCGAAATGCTGAGACACTGCGAGGCTTGAATGTGGATCAAACTATTTATGTTATAATAATTTAATCGTATAATTATAAACTTTAAAAATTTAGGGGGATATTAAAACCACCATTGGGAGGGAGCGAACCGCTCAGTGCCTAGCAACTATAAAGCACACCTCCCTTTGGTGGTATATTAGGGGGATAGACCTAAGGGTATAATTTACGGGCACTATAATGGCTGGGGACATCGCCCGTAAATTTGCCCAAACATCCCTCCCCCAAACACGGGACAACAAACGCTGGTTGATATATTGTTGATATACCATATATTGTTGAAAACAAACTCTCACCATCAACCCCCTGACCCCCCGATGGTGAGAGATTGGTTTGGGGAATATATTGAAACAGGCTCAAGCGGCATAAAATCTACGAGACGCTGAAATAAAATCTACAAGATGCTGTTCCGGGTCGGCTGGAAGTCCCCAAGGGCAAACCTAACATGGCACCCAGGGGTACTTTAATTCTGGATTGATTGAATGGTGTGGTTTGATCTGGTCGGCTGGAGACTCAAAAGAGACAACCTAACATAGCAACCAGGGGTACTTTCTAATGCCTGAGTTTAGCCTGGTGGGGCAACGGCGATGGGCAACGAAGCGTCATCATCATCATCATCATCATCATCCCTTGTTGATCTTTCTAGCCGAAAGCAAAAGCAAACGAGAGTGGTATTTTTTATATTCCTAATACCTGTGGTGATCTTCTCCAATTGAATGTAAAATTCACAGGCGGGGAACTTATATGCCAAATAATTACCCTTGTTGATTTGCCTTCTTGAATGTAAAGTTGAACAGAGATGTCATTCTAAATTCCTCGTACCTTTGTTGATTTTCCCCGTTGAATATTAAGGTAGCCGGGGGTGGGAATCTATATTCCCAGTACCGTTGTTGATCTTCCCAATTGAATGTAAAGTGTAACGCCAGCACCAGAAGGGATGATGGGTTCATTCAGCGCCACGGCCTCTCGAGCCCGTCGAGCCCGTCGAGCCCGTTGGGCCCGTTGGGCCCGTCGTGCCCGTCGGGCCCGTTGAGCCCGTGAAGCAGGCCCGTTGGGGCCCGTTGGAGCCCGTTGGGCCCGTTGGGCCCGTTGGGCCCGTTGGGCCCGTCGGGCCCGTCGGGGCCGTTGAGCCCGAACCTAGGAAAGGACTATTCTCGGATCTTTTAGCCACATCTTTTAAATTAGCCACGAAAACAAACTTAGCTGCGTAAGAGTGTTAACCACGTATTGTGGCGTAATGGATCTATTTTGTATTATTTATTTATTTATGTGTGTTGTTTTATTATTTTGATTAGTTGTTATCCCTATTTTTATCTTTTTTATATTTTTTTACTTTGACTATGTTTCCCTATTTTTAGATTGTTTATATGTTTTTTATTTTTGACTATTTTTCTCTATTTACATCTTTTTTATATGGGTATATACAATTTTATGATTTCTCGAAACAATTTGATGATTTCTCGGTACAATTTGATGCTTTCTCGGTACAATTTGATGTTTTTTCTATACATATCATGATTTCTCGGTACGGTTCTATGGTACAATTTGGTTTTATGGTACAATTGTACTGAGTAATCATTAAAAAGCAATGAAAAACCATCAAATTGAACCGAGATACGATATCTTTTGTATCCAGAAAGCATCTAATTGTACCGAGCAATCATCAAATCGTACCGAGACATCATCTCGGTATATTACATACAATTTCTCGGTACCAAGAAACCACCAAATCGTACCATGAAATCATCAAATGGTTCCGAGGAATCAAAGCCCTTCCAACTATTTTGGTACATCTTAAACTTGGTTTCCTTTTTCTTGCTTGAAAAAAATAATGAATTACAACAGAAAAAGTTTTGTTTTCAAGGAAAATGTAAATTAAATTGATTTTCAAGGCTAAGATGTTGATTGTTCGTGGCTAAACTTATTTACGTGGCTAAAAAAAACTTTTCAGGGCTAAAGATTTTATCTTTTCGCGGCTAAAAATCGGTCCCAACTCAGCTAGCTACCGCTAGCTTTCGTGATAACCTCTTATCATCTGCTACCCCTGTTCCAAATCCAAATCCTCACCTCCACCAGCAGTTGTGCAGCACGCCACGCCAGCACCACTTGAGCCTTTGGCTCCCATGACACGCTGGATTCACCGTGCACCTCCCGAGCACAGCTCCTGGCCACGCAGAGCCAGGGCAGCCCCAACCGAGCCAGGCGCAAGGTCACTAGGGAGGAGTGCAGAAGTTTGGAGGTGCCAAGGTTGAAGAAACCTGACAGGTTTGCACAAAATGGAAATCACTTGAAACTTGAAAACTATTTTTAAAAAAAATAAAATCATTGCCACGGATACTGCTTGAGAAATCATGACAAATCTCTTTCAGGTCCATTAATTCATCAATATTGAGCTTGAGCATCAATGAATCAAGTTAAGGGGATACCGGATACCCCAAAAAAAGCAGGACAGAAGCTTCCTACAAGCTGCCCCGCAACAAAAAAACTCCCCGACGTCTGATTCACAAAACCTTGAGTGATCATGGCATTTGTTCTACAGGAAGGAACAATCAAGTTGGATAAAAGACAATAAAGTCATATAAAGTCAATAAATTAGCACTTCGCGTTCGTAATTATTACGAATTTACGAAAGTTTCAGCATGTTCGAGCAGAGCCCAGAAACTCTCCAAGCGAAGCGACTCCAAATCTGCCTCCCCAGTTTTAGACCTCATCGCTGGCAAAATCCCCTGCAGTCTTTGCAATCTTGTCAAAACTGGCCGCATTTGGTCCTGGAGGGCCATCACACTTCCTTCTCCGAGCGAATCATGAGATTCCAGCAGTTCTAAAGCCTCGATGGCTGAGTTCACCAGCACCAGGGAGGAGAAAGTTTTTCGACTTTCAGATCTTTCAGATCTTTCAGCTGGAGTTCTGAGGGAAGGAAGGACTTCATCTATCAATCTCTGCAGGCGATTGAACAATCCTCGACTTTGGAGACAACAAGCAGCGGCGGCTGCCGCAGCCACCTGCCTGAGACTGATCAAGTTGGGTGCAGGGCCGACCTTCAACATCTGATCCAGAAGGGATAAGGCTTCTTGCCAATTGGATCCATCTGCATAGGACGACAATTGGATGTTGCAAATGATGAGATTTTTCACCAAGCGTCTCTGCTCCATCTCCGCCAGAAGCTTCAGGGCAGCTTCGGAGGACCCCAGGCGGCTTGCAGCACAAGCTGCTCCATACGCAACTTCATTGGGCTGCACCCATCTGCGTTGCAGTTCCCTCCAGAGATCCATGGATTCCTCCCAATGCTCCGTTCTGCTGCAGGCACTGACCCCAGTGGAACAGCTGAAGACATCTGGCTGGCACATTTTGCATCCCATTCCTGCCATCAGAGACAAGACTTGATCCCAGTGTAGCCCATGCTCACACGCCTTGGCCACCGAATTGATTTGGGTCAGCCCATCCACATCTACCACACCTGCCAGGGATCCCAGGGATCCCAGGGCCACCAGCCACTGGTGCCCCCGGCTGCAGGCGGACACCGCCGCGTTGACTGCGATGCCACTCAGCTGGATGTTCCAGTGACCTGCCGTTCCCAGCAGTTGCAAAGCCATCGTCCAACGGCACGCACTGAGGCAGCTGCCCAAGGCGGTGATGTCGGCACGCAGCCCGAACATGCCTGGGAGTTGAAGGGATTTGATGACAGCGATGGAATGTGTCCGAGAAAATTTAGGGAGAATAAATGTAAAGCATCAAGACTAGGGGACAATTACCACTATACTTTAATTGCGTTGAGACAACAAGATAGAAGATATTCGACGTTGCAAAATTTGGGGTTGCCCGGAGCTATTTCAAGCGGAAGTTGGAGCATGTGATGCATGTGCACAGAGTAGATCTTGAACTGTCAATTTGCCTGTAAAATTTGTGAATTTGACTTCGGACTGGAATTGCCAATTTCGTGGTATTTGTAAAGGTTTTACGGTCAGACTGGACGATGCGAGTAAGAAGAATAAGGGGAATATCTTCTATCTTAGTGTCTTGAAGATTCTTGAAGTATAATTGCAAACCAAAAGCGCATAGCCATACTACACTAGCCGGCGTGAATATGTTCTTCTATCATATCGCCGTTGAAATCGTTGAACAGGCGGTTTTTACCCCACCTTGCATGAGATCCAAGATCCTCAGCACCGCTGTCCACCGGCCCGCGCGCTCGCAGCGGCACTGCAGTGATCCCAGCACCGCGATGTGCGGCCGCGCCGAGGCGCGGCGCACATCCTCGAGGCTGCCCAGTGCGCTGGTCCAAGCGGCTCCCCGTAGGGAGGATGGACACATCAGCCATGGATCCGCAACCCTCCATGCGAACAACGGAACGAACCTAGGTCTTGATCCACGGAAAAATGAATAAAACATATAAAACTGGTGCAAGTAGAAGTCTTTGGACTCAGAA